TACTTTTCAAATCTGAAAGCCTGGATATAACCCCGTCACGCCATCAGTGCTACTCGATTCACCTATCCAATGCCCACAACAAAAATTGCAACAATTTTTACAAGGGTGACTGCAGACGATAAACCCGCACCCTCAGATTAGCAAAGCGGAGTTTACGTCTGCATTTGCGGACTAGGATATAGCCTGCGTACAGTTGCCGCAGGCCTGCGGCCTACGGCCTGCAGCAACTGTACGCGGGCTATAGTACTAGAGCTAATCACGACATAGATGCAATAATGTAACCCAACAAGAGTAGGGTTACAACGCGAGCCTATTCTTTTCTTTGTAGGAGCCCCTGAGTGATTCACTCAGCCTCAGGGCGGTTTTATTGTGCGTTTTTCGAGACTAGAACTTCCAAACTGGGTTTATTCTAAACACGAACCTTTCTCCGCTATCCTGGTACTTGCTATGTAATAATGTATTACAATACTCTGTATTAAACTAATATATAACCTGTTAGAAAATTTCAAAACGGCGAGCAGCAATATTTCGAGCGCCATTTTTGTTGACCTGTGACGTACGCATTCCCAATGCGCATAGCATTCGGCTAACTTCGGCTCCTGTGTTGCCTGACATGCTGGCTCTGGTGACGTCATGACTGACAGCATGCATCCCATGATGCATTCGATCTTGGAGCCAAAATTAGTCGAACGCTATGCGCATTGGGGATGCGTACGTCACAGGTCAAAAGAAATGGCGTTTGAAATATCGCCGCTCGTCACTTCGAAATAACAATTTTCTAACAGGTTATATTAGTTTAATAAAAAGTATTGTGATACATAGTAAGTCCCAGGATAGCGGAGAAACGTTCGTGTTTAGAATAAACCCAGTTTGGAAGTTCTAGTCTCGAAAAACGCACCATAAAACTGCGTTGAGTGAATCACTCAGGGGCTCCTCCAAAGAAAAGAATAGGCTCGCGTTGTAACTCTACTCTTGTTGGGTTAAATTATTGTATCTAATCAGGACACTACTCACTAGTTAAAACTAAAGGTCTATATCATATTCATAATTCATATATGCTCCAGTTGACAGTCTACACTGTAGTCTAACCAGACATGCACACGTGTATGGCAAACCATTTGTATCATAATTCGAGAAACCACGGTTCCTCGCACGAAACTAGGTTTCATGCTCACAAAACCTAGTTTCTTGCTCAAGAAACCAGGGTTCTTGCCATGAAACTAGTAGGCCATGAAACTATAGGTTTCGTGGCACGAAACCTGGTTTCTAGCCCTATAACCGCAGTTATAGCTGGAATCTTAGTTTCGTGAGCAAGAAACTAGGTTTTGGGAGCAAGAACCTAGGTTTCAGCAAGAAACCCACTTTCAACCACGCCATTTGTATCATAATTCGAGAAACCACGCCAGGTTTCGTGCTCACAAAACCTAGTTTCTTGCCATGAAACTAGGTTTCATGGCATGAAACCTGGTTTCTAGCCCTATAACCGCAGTTATAGCTGGAATCTTAGTTTCTTGAGCAAGAAACTAGATTTTGGGAGCAAGGACCTAGGTTTCAGCAAGAAACACATTTTCAACCACGCCATTTGTATCATAATTCGAGAAACCATAGTTTCGAGCGACGAAACCAGGTTTCGTGCTCACAAAACCAGGTTTCTTGCCATGAAACTAGGTTTCCTGGCATGAAACCTGGTTTCTAGCCCTATAACCGCACTCATAGCTGGAATCTTAGTTTCTTGAGCAAGAAACTAGGTTTTGGGAGCAAGAAACCCACTTTCAACCGCGCCATTTGTATCATAATTCGAGAAACCATAGTTTCGAGCGACGAAACCTAGTTTCGTCGTTGCTAAGGCCCGTATCTAGGATTCGTGATCCCGAGCGTGACCTCAGCGTAGTTCAGCCACTCGGGGCCACTGCTCAGTAAATACTTATATATTAATGCCTGCCTGCTGTTGGGGGCACTATGCTCTCATAGTGTTGCTGAGGGAAGGAATAGTGCCCGA